GGGATAGATAAGGAGGCTAGGGTTTGAGCTATTAAGTTCTTTATATAGTGGTTGGCTCTAAAATTAGGGTTTATGGACACTGGACGTACGTTGGGCGTACGCCAAAAACGCCCGCGACCATTTCCTTTTTATACGCTGGGCGTACTCACGCGCATTCAACTTTTCATGCATGGTCCTTCCTTGTCATTTTTTTTCTTTTAGGGGCCATTTCTGCCAATAACTTCAAAGGGTCATAAATCCTTCATTCTAAGTCCGTTTTCGACGAACTTTATATGCACAAAAAGGTGGTGGGGAGCCCTACGCTCCAATCGACACCTCCAAGTCCAAAACCTTTTGGATGAAACCCGGGACCCATAAAAGACTGAATCGCCCCTACCCTTTGGTTTTCGAGACCCCAATTAAGTACTTTCAAACAGGGTGTTACAGTTGGTGTTTTGTGGTGAAGAAGAAGAAAAGGAACACTTGGAGTAGTAGCTTGAGCTTGTAGATCCAAGATCACCTTCTCATTTGCAAGCTTTTTGAGGTAAAAAGCTCAAACCTTGATGATTATTTGTGTTAGATCTATTTTATGGTGTTGCTTGGTTTTTTAGTCTTTTGAAGTAAAGATGAGCTTTTGATCTACTCCAGAAGCAATAGATGTTAGATCTAAGCTCCATTTAGGCCCTATATTCATAAAAATGAAAACTTTATGGATGTTTATAGTTCATGCAAGTATTAAGACCTTTATTAAACTTTATTTGAGCTTTGAGTCCCATTAAACCATGCATGAGTGTAAAGTTGCCAACTTTACGTGATAGGTCACCCTTAGGGACCAGATCTGAGAGTTTGGCTTGAGGTCTCAACCGATTAAGTGCTTAATGGAGTGGGTTGGCAATCTGGGGAGTATGTTGGGCATACCCAGCTGGTACGCTGCACGTATTAGCACTAGGTGGAGTACCCTAAGAGTATGAGCTGAGTACGCCCCGTGTACTTAACAGATGGGATTTTAGGCTTGACATTCTTGGAATTGGGCCATGTTTTGGATGTACCCAACTGGGGAGTATGTTGGGTGTACCCAGCTGGTACGCTGCACGTATTAGCCCCGAGTGGAGTACCCTAAGAGTATGAGCTGAGTACGCACCGTGTACTTAATAGATGGCCTTTTAGGCTTGACATTCTCGATATTGTGCCATGTTTTGGACTTTGTAAGTTTGGGCCTTGTTGGGCCATTTAACTTTAGGTTTGGACTTGGGGCTAGTATGTTAGGCTTTATTAGCTTGGGCCTTGTTGGGCCATTAGACTTCTATTTTGGACTTGGGGCTAGTATATTGGGCTTCCTTGGATTTAGGCTAATGATGGGTTTTAGATCTAATTTGGAAGATTGGGCCATAAATTGGGCTTTGGGTTGCCATTTAGGATTTAGGCCTTTTGAGTGGTAGAGTTGGGCCTTGGCTTTGGGCTAAGTTAGATGTAGGGTAAAATGGTATTTTACTCTAGTTATGGGCTAGGTAGCTTAGATTCTTGGTTATGGGTCGAGTCCCAATGATTAATTCGATGTTATTTTTATGTTGATAGCGCAGGAATTTTTCGGACCAGCAGACAGAGATTTATTTGAATGATTCAATAGCTAGAGGTGAGTTTCCTCACTGTGTTTAGCTGGTTGAAGGTACCAATACCGGCCTATGGTTTGTTATGTTAGGATGCTAAATGTCTGCGTGACTCTTGCATGTTTTATGTTCTTGTATGCTTACCAGAAGGGGCCTAATGACCATTTTGTATGCTATTTATCTGTATGATTATTGAATGTGTTATATGTTTATCTCTTATATGACTATATGTATACTGGGCGAGGCCCGATAACTGAGAGATCTGTATACCGAGTGGGGCTCGATGCCATGCGGGGGACATGATGTGTTTATTATATATGGTATGTGGTATTTTGGGGAACTCACTAAGTTTTGTGGTTACGATTTTCAAATTATGTTTCAGGTACTTCTAGTTCGAAGGGGAAGAGCCCGGGATGATACAGTGCACACATCACCTCATTCCGTATTTTATGATTACTGTGATGTTTTATAATTACTTCGATGTTTTATGATGTATTTGGTACACTTTGTTCCACCTTGGTTTTATGATGATGTTTTGGATTACATTTTTATTAATTTACAAACAAAAAAATTTTGTCTTCATTTTGGGACGTTACATCTCGCTCCCAAGAAGGACACTCATTTGATCTTATACTCTCGTAATTAGTATTCGGGAGAAACATATTATCAAGAAAAGTTCTTACAAAAGAGACCATGATGTTGTTACCGTGAGGCCACATTGGGAGCCTAAAAGAGTTAAAAAGTTGGATATTAAGAATGCGACAAATTTTATGGTGGTTGTTCATTGACTATAATTTTAATATTTGATCTTATACCTTCGTAATTACAAACATTTGAACTTGAATGGTTAAATTGAGTTTTTTTTTTTTTTTTTATGTTATAGAACTCTTGGTTCGTTTGTTACAAGTATGAAAAGTTGAACTCCAGATTTTGTTTTGTGATGGCTACAAAGGCCGAACTCTTGGTTTGGTTTGTGATGGCTACAAAGGACCGAACTCCTGGTCTTGTTCGCTTAATCAGTAATTGTAAAACAAGTTGATAATGTAGTAGATGAAAAAGATGGATGAGAACATGAACAAGTTTGACAAAGATAGATAAGGAAACGATATGGATAAAGTCGATTGATGTTGGTTTTAGTATATAAAACCTTATGGCATTATGGTATTTTGTACATCAAGACTCATATTTTGTATATTCAACCATATGAGCATATATTTGTACATCAAGGCAATTTTTTTTTCTTTTGTATATTCAACCTTATGGGTACATAATTGCTTATGACACTATGATTTTGTATAGAAACAAGTAATTATCCATTTTTTGATTTTATATTCTACTACCACAATTAGATTATCCAACAAACCATCGGTCAAAATAAAATGATACAAATTGTCGTTACATCAACACTAATTATCTTTACATCGACACTAACTTCATCAAAATTACAATGACAATACCCATTAAAAACCTTTATAATGAACAACTTTGACTTATCTCCTTAAAATTCCACTTGGTGTTATTATTCAACATTAAAGTAGATCTGTATAGCCTCTTCTGTCTGTGCCGCACAGACCACGTGCAAACATTAGCTTTCACAGACTGCTTGTTTTTTTGAAGACTGCAAACCTAAAAATGTCTGCGCGCTCTCTTCTTGGCGCAGATGTGGACCAAAGTCTTCAAACATCTTCTAGCCTAAAAAACATATATATATCTTTATTTTTTTTGAAGTTTTTTTTTTTTTTTTTTTAATTTATATTTTTTCCAACTTTATTAATGATAAACAATTTGAAAAAAAAATTACAAAACTTATAAAAAAAAAAAAAAAAAAAAAACGTTCGACGATACAAATATGATATTTTTGATAAATTTGTAAATAAAGATTTATTACAATTATAGTCGTTGAAGTTGTTTATATAAATATGAAAAAAAATCATAATATAATCTTATATTTTTTTGCCAAATTTTGTAAAATATTATATAAGTATCGTCAATTTCTCTAGAAATATTTATGGTACGTTTTTAATGGATTTAATTCAAAAAATTCGAAGTTTATTTCCGCCCATTTATGTATCAAATTATTTGATTACTAATTATAATGTTTAGTTATAACGTTACAACCAAAGTTGTTGGTTTTTATCAAATATATACGTTAATTCATATATTTTTATTTTTATTTTTATTTTTTTATACAATAATACATAAAAATTGATATAGATTCGTTAATTATTTATAACAAAGTCATAAAAATATTTACAAAATCACTTTGACGTTAAAAAAAATTAGTTTATTTATATTTCAATTTTTTTTGGTAGCCCGCAAATGTTAAAAAAACAAATAATCTTCTTTTTTCAGACTGCAGACGTTTGGTCTACATTTTCTAACTGCAGAGGTCTACAGATGTGGTCCGCAGACTGCAGATATTTTGGTTTAGAAACAACAAATGAATGACAATTTTGTTATTATTCAAAATCAACTCATTTTCCATTCCTTCAAAATTTTCATTTACACATTCTCATATTCCACTTTATCATACGAAGATGATAGAAAATATCATAATACTAATTATTTGGTACTTTATGAATCCACTAAAGATATTTCTTATGGGCTCTTAAATAAAGATATTTATATTTTTTCATGGGCTCTTAACTAATTGATCACAAAACAGCAATTTCCTCTTGTGCTATTAAATAATAAATCATAAAAACAACAATTTCCTCATAGGTGCTCGAATAATCGATCATAACAATAACAATTTCCTCCTAGGCTTTTGCATAATCAATCATGAAAGTAATAATTTGCTCATCGACTCTTAAATAATCGATCTAAAAAAAACAATTTTCTCGTGGGCTTTAATAATCAATAATAAAAATAACCATTTCCTCATGGACTATTGGTAATGGATCAAAAAAATATCAATTTCTTCGTGGGCTCTTGAATAATTAATCATAAAAACAACACTTTTCTAATGGGCTTTTGAATAATTAATCTTAGAAATAACAATTCCCATGGACTTTTAATAAACAGATATAAAAATAACAATTTTCTCATATTCTCTTGAATAATCAATCATAAAAATAACATTTTCCTAGCGGCTCTTCAATAATCCTCATAAAAATCACAAGCGTTCATTTTCAAACGATGCTTAGGAAGAAAGTCACTTCCAATCGAACTAAAGATTAGAGATATAGATGAAGAAACATGTCAATTAAGTTACATATCTATAGATTTCCCCCAACTCATACCAATCAAATTGGTATAAATAGGATGAAAATTGGAGTTGAAAAGAAGAAAGAACATTCATTCAGTAACATTGTATACGCAATTTTAACTTTATTTAACTAAAAAAGTTCAAACAAAAGTTGAAATGTATCCAATAGATTTGGGAAACAAAAGACTATTTCAAATCAACTGATGCTAATCATCGGCAGTAGCTAATTGCAAAGACAAGAGCTCTTCTTCAGGGATGATTTTGATATGACAATCCGATTTGGGATACGATACACACAACAACGAGTAGCCACGCTCAATCACATCGTCGCTCAACATCCCCTCACTCTGATCCACGCTTCCACTAAGCAGTTTCGCCGGACAAGTCATACAAACTCCCAGCTTGCAATCGTGGGGTACGGACATTCCCGAATCTAACGCCTTTTCCAGTATCGTCTCATCTGGATCCACCTCTAATTCAGTCGTTTCACCTTCGTGCTCGATTGCTACTTTGTAAGAGCAGGTGGTGGTGTAACGGAGGCGGCCACGGAGGTGTAGGGGGTGAAGCGAGCGGAGATTGGTGGCGAAGTGGTGTCTCGGAGCGGCAAGTGTGAAGGGCGGAGGAGTAGTGATATGAAAGGTAGGCGCTGCTGCTGCCATGGCGAATGACGATTGTATGTTTTTGAGGGATGAGATGGTGTGTGGTGTTCTAATCTTGATAAGGTTTTGTTTGTGTAGGCGTCATTTCTTTTACACTTTTTAATTTAGATAATTTATTGTTTTATAAGAACTGGGTGTAAGATTACATTAAAGAAAAATACTAAATTTTAAACATTTGCAAAATTTTAAATTTATAAGAAAAAATAAAAAATTATTAAATTATTAAAATTAAAGCGTTTGTTTTTTTTAAATTAAACAAATAATTTAGATAAATAAAGAAAAGAAACTAATGAAACTTTAATTTATAAATTTTGAAATTAAAAGAAACTTAATTAATGCAGTTGATATACATTTTTTATTATATTTATTGCAATTATTATATTTAAATATTATGTGGAAATTAATAAAGTGAAAAAAATCACAAAAATATCATGTGGAAAAAAAATTAATTGAAAATAACTACAAAATGACATGTGGTAAAATCAATGAGTATAGTTATGGTAAAAAAATTATTTATTAGAGTAGATAACAATTATTCTAAGGGTTAGATTACTCAAATTTTCTTTTTATATATAATGTATACTTATTTTGGACATACCTCATAAAACTAAAGTATGATTTTTGAAGTTATTTTTTTTGTTTATATATTAAATAAAATGCAATTGATAATCTTAAAATCAACAAAAACCAAATAAATTTATAAACTAAAGGGATTTGTTTGAAGTAATATTACAATGTTCAAATCATTTTATTCCTTGTACTCCAAATATTCGCCATTCGTTTACGATGTGACATAGCCCATGTACCGCTTAGACTGTCTATAGAATATGACTTCCTGGTGATTAACGTTTCTAGAAATGAACACAAAAACACCCCATAATCCCCTTTACTGTCAATATGTTGTGGTACTTGTGGCACCTTTTCGAGAGTCATGTTGAAACTCTCAAGTGAGAATGAATCACTTGGTTCGGTATCCCAGTAGTTGATACCTACTAATAGTCTCTGGATGCGGGCTCACATATTGATAAACCAATCTTCGGTTTCTGAAAAGTAGCCGCTCTTCCAACGACTATCATATATTGTCATTTGGAAAGTCTTCAAATTTTAAGCACCCAAAAACCAGTGAGCAATTGGTATATCGATTGGGATGTAAAGCTACAAAAAAGGTTAGAAATACTTAAACATCAAATAACATTTTATTACATACATACTTAGGTAATGTAATCGAAACACAATTATATAGTATCACAGTCTGACCAAGTTGGGTAAATGGATCCATCATGCATGACACTTCAGTCAAATGCATAAGTGTTGAAAGTTGTCGGTACAACCGTCCACCGAGTGTCATCCTATCTACGCTCCACCAGCAGTGAGATCTATAACATGATGTGTTGCAATTAAAAATATTTTTAGTTAAGTAAGTGTTGTTAGTAGAAGCTTAGTATGTATATAAGTAGGCTAATAATGTAACTTACATCACATTCCAACCACCCTGTATGACTATCTGCATATAAGCACATCCAAAACTCACATGTCAGAATACCAGTCAAAAAACGGTGACTGAACAACACCGAACCATCCCATTGTTTATAAAGAGTGTGTATGACATGTTCTACAAGATTGTCCAATGACGTTGGATGTTGTCGTACAAGATCTTTCCTTTTCTTTTGTATCCATGGAGACTTATACCATATGGACATTACTTTTTGGCGCATAGAATGCCGAAGTGCTTGTGGGGGCGTTTTGTATTCATTCCGTGGAATCTCTTTTATATCCGATGAATGAATAAATGGATACGACTGCTCAGGGTCGTTACACATTGGGTTTTTTGGTGTGCCTGAACCATAATCGTGGTCCTATAAGTCATTGTCATTGTACTCTGCGTTACCAAAATCATCTCCAGGAGTCTTATCGATAAGTTTTAGAACCATGGCTAAAGTAGCGTCATGCTCTGCTAAACGTTGATCTTGTGACCTCAACTGCTCGTGACATTCATTGAGCTCATTTTTCAATCGGCAGACCTCGTTTTACTAGTCATTAATAATTCGATCCTTGTTAGTTGACGGGTTAGCGATCGACGGTGGTGATGGTGGCAGGTGAGATGTATCATCTTTTTGTGCCTTCTTTTATCAAGGCTCATGGGTATAGGAGTTTTTGGGTGATGGTGTTAGGGACGGTGCCCTGTCAACTTCTGTGTCGCGAAAATCAGGGCCATCAATCCACACCGAGTTAACTATCCACCATTCATGACGCATCTCATCTTCTGTCGGCTACAACTTCTGTACGAGTCTATTATCCTGCTAACAAAATTATAAAATTATAAATAAAAATAAATTGTAAAATAAATAAATATTTTAATAATAAAGTAAGCATACGTCGTTGATTTGTAAAAATTGGTTGCATACAGGCTTTTTTAAAGCCCTTGGTTTGACCATTTAATAGTCCGATGGATCACATTCTGTTGTCGGGTACTAAACAAACTGCTCATCGGAAAAGTCTTAAGAATCCATATTTGAATGTTAGCAAAAAAAAAAAAAAATTTTTAGAATGTTAGCAAACAAAAATAAATAATACATTTTTCATCATATACTTACCTTAAAAGCGTATAAAAACCCATGTAGAGTGTAGGTCATTTTTTGAGGTTGCTTTTGTTTCGGTTCGACTGGATGTATATGCTTGTCAACCTTACTGAATACACTTTCTAGCTACGAGTACAATTGATCCCAAATTATCCTCCCCCATGGATACCTGCCACATAAAAAATTAATCAACAATTAAAATTTTAAAAAATATTAGTAGCGAAAAGTAATTATAATCAGTAATTATAAAATAGACAACATTATACATGTTGAATTCATCATGTTTGGATAGCAAATTGAAATACTATTCTGTAACAGGCTGCTTAGGAAACCGCTCATTAAAACCCTTCTCTAACAGGTACAGAAGACATAGACGGACTGCATCATCATCAGATAAATCATTAAGTGAATGTTTAAACACCTTAATAACATTGCCTAATTTGACCGAGACGTTCCTCAGGACCATAGTAAAGACACGGGAATGGAATGCGGTGTTGGATGCAGAAACATGAAAATACTCACAAAACCGGAAGCCAATGATAAGACAAAATTCTTTATTCCCGAAAGACAGCTCGTAACCCCTAATCTCGAAAACCATTTCCTCTACTTGGCTTCGGGGGTCGGTGACAACTTCGTGGCAAAAGAAGTAATGTAGAAGAAAAGGATCCCCATATACATTAGGAATATATAACCACTTCCCAAAACATGTATTACAGAACATAGTCTCACATTCGGGTCTGTCTTTGATTGTCGAAAGAATTTTCCCGCTGATTTTGGGTTTACACGAGAGTCTAATGGACGCATGTCGTGTTGCACAAAAAAAATTGTGTTATCACTTTATTCTGAAACGAAAATGACCAATATTCTGGACCATTTCTGGAGCAAATCCGGACCTGTTACTCATGTTTCGACGAGTTATCATGTTCCGGAACAGTTCCTAGTGTTCCGAAGGCTTCCAGAATGAAATTTAAAGATCAAGAACACTATATTTTGATGTAAATTAACAATACCTGAACATCTAAACTACTTTTCAGTTGGTTATACAAAAATTAGATCTTTAATTTAAACTATATAACGTTTTCAGTTCATTGTGGAGGTGTTCTATGAATGCCAAAATAGTAACAATAGAAGAATAGGCTCCTTAAATAAAAAAGAAAACTATGTAAAGAGAAAAATAAGAACATACCTTCAAAATAACGGTGTCGTAGTGCTCTTCTTCCATGTCGGAGTTGTGTGTCGGATATCGGAATGATGATCGGAATCGAAAGATCCGGAATTGCGTTTCGGAATCGGAGTCGGAAGTCGGAGCAAGATCTGAAATAAAGGCGAAGGTCCAATTTTTTTTTAAAATTATATTCTGAAATTTGAAATTCCAATTTCCGATCTAGAACTCGAACGGGTAGTCCGGAATGACAATTCTGGACCCACAGTAATGGGCCAGCCCACTCGAAATTTTGTCTGAAATATGTTCCGGAATGCACTATTTCAAAATAAGTGGTCAATTTTAAAAAAATGGTTATATTTGTAAAAAACACCCAAACAAAGGTTAGATTACTCAACTTCCCTTATTTAAAACTTGTAAATATATAATTCAACAATTAAATGTGATTATCTAAAATAAATATTGATTTATCGGTAAATGATTGTGTATTTAGTTATAAATTTATATCATATATTTTTAGCACGAATCTTGAAAACATAAAACCAAAAATTAAAAACTACATAAAACATAAATTTTATTTTACATCTACGTATCTTAATAAAAGACTATTTTCTCCAAATGTCTTTCTAACATCCCGGGTTTTAGGTATTTTCAAATCATTCCTTTGGTTTTTTAAATATGTCATTTGGGTTCTTAGAATGATGTAGCCCTAAGAAGCCCAAGTGGAAAAATGGTAATTTTTAGGAGCATGAGTAGTAAGCTGGGCGTACATGTGAGACACTAAGCATACTAGAGCGCACCCTAGTACGTTGGGCGTACACACATATGTACGTTGGGCATACTAATTTCAGGGTGAAACCCTAAATTGTAGGGTTTGAGGAGTATTTAAGCACCTTTATGGATCATTTTGCTTCAATCTTTCAACCTCTAAGTCCTTGAGCCGTTCTTAGCAAACCCAAACCCCATAAGTGAGAATTTTAGGCATAAAGTGTGTTATTTGTGTGCTTAAAGGAGAAGGAAGTGCATCAAGGAGTCAACGAAGGAAAGCAAGCTTGTAGATCTTGGATCATCATCTGATTTGGAAGCTCTAGTAGGTAAAACATTGCTACCTCTGTGTTTGGTTTGCTTAGATCTCATCTTGGCAGCTTTATGATGTTCTTCGGTCCCTAAAAGTCTCATTGTTGTGCATGTTTGAGTTTGGAAATTTTGGGTTATCCTTCTAGACCCTAGGAAGGGTCCTTAGTCATAAAAATGAGGTC